CATACAGTGCAGCAGCGCACCTCGCAGAGTTCCAGATCCACAGCTCCGGTCCTCGTCTGCAGCCGTTCGGGGCCCTAGCGAACGCCTCGTCACGCGACGGCATGCCGTTCGGAATGTCATCCAGCGTCACCTGTCGCCACGATGCATCTCGAACCAACACATTTGCTTGTCATCGCCCTGGTCTTCCCCGCAATCACCTTGCGTGTATTCAAGCCCCCTTGCAGGTGATCATGCACGACTTCATTTGCTGCGTGAGCCGAAAAATTTGATACATAAAATCGGGAATCTAGTCAGCCTCCCACGCTATCACTGGCCCATCCCACGAATTCTGGGACGTGTATTGCGACTTTACCTGTGCGTTGGCCAACGACGCTCAAAGCGATACCCGAAAGAACAATCGCGCCAACTGCGTTTAGACTGAGATATCTCTCCCCGCTCTCACTGTGCTTGCCGTCCGGCTTCTAGATCCACAAAATGCGTACGGCAGCCTTGCTACTATTCTCTCATCTCCTCTTCCCTCACCCTAGTTCGGTAAATGCGCCCTGATCGATATTTAGTGGAGGCGGGTTCGACTTTTAGTTTCATCAACCGCCCCAACAACTGATTGCATCTTCTTCTCTTCTTCGCTGTTGATTTGTCATGTTTCGCCAGCCAGCAGCGCGACTGAGGCAAATAGTCTCACCTTTGCTCAAGCGAGGAGGCGCTCGAGCACGTACCGGACGCGAGCAGACATTCAGATCCGAACATTCTCAACGGCCATTTTGGAACTCAGGAAGGGTCTTGCTGTTTTCTGCTGTCACCGGCACAACTACGTACTTCTATGGCGCCAACGATGAACCTCACAGGATTCAAATGCCATGGCTCAAGTCCTCAGGACCCCAATATGCGTCCAAACACGAGATGGAGAAGGTAGGCTCGCGAGTCGTGCAAAGGTTCGCACGCATCAGTCACTTACCTGGATGCAGGCAATTGAAGAATTAAGGACAACACTTGGAGAAGATGCGATTAGTACCGATGACGAAGATTTGCACAGACATGGATACTCGGAATGGTCGTCCATTAACATCGACCAGCTCCCAGTTGCGGTGGCTTACCCAAAATCTACGGAAGAGTGTGCCTCGATCGCCAAGGTCTGCTACAAATACAAGATACCCATGAGTATGTTTACGAGGATAGACGAAGAGATGGGTGTTGATAGCGTACAGTTCCCTATTCTGGAGGATCAAGCCTTGAGGCCAACTTCTCGGCTCCGTTTGGCGGAATGAGCATCGACTTCTCCTTCATGGACCAGATAGTGGCCTTGCACGAAGATGAGTAAGTGCAGAATTCGCTCAGCATATCAAATCTACGATACTAACGTAGCCTGTAGTATGGATGTCGTAGTTCAGCCTTCGGTACCCTGGATGAGTCTCAACGACCAGATCAAAGACTCAGGTCTGTTCTTTCCAGTTGACCCCGGTCCATCGGTACGTTCTCATGTGTTACACGACTTCGCGACCAACAAGCGGAAATCCCAAAGCGGAAATCCGAACCTATGTTAACGGACGTGGCAGGCTCGAATTGGAGGCATGGTTGGTACAAGCTGCAGGTGAGGTCGCCGACTGCTGGCGACATGGTTTCTATAGCTAACGTCACAGTGGGACTAACGCGGTGCGATACGGCACGATGAAGGATTGGGTCATCAATCTGACCGTTGTCCTCGCGGACGGCACAATCATCAAAACAAGACGCAGGCCTAGGTATGCAAGATGATTACAATTTCCGATATGAGAATGACTAAAAGTCTCTAGAAAATCGTCTGCCGGTTACAATCTTACCAACCTCTTCGTTGGCTCCGAAGGAACACTGGGCATAGTGACGGAAATCACTTTGAAACTCGCTGTAGTGCCCCAAGAAACCAGTGTCGCAGTTGTGACTTTCCCCACGATTCGAGATGCCGCAGCAGCAGCTTCCAAGGTGTTGCGCGCTGGAATACCAGTAGCTGCGATGGAAATCATGGACGACGTGCAAATGGGGGTGATCAACAAAGCCGGATCAACGACCAAGAAATGGAAAGAATTACCGACCATGTTCTTCAAGTAAGTCGTCAAGATAACCGTTTGACATGTGAAAGCATGAACTAAGAGCCGCACACAGATTCTCGGGAACCAAGGCAGGGGTATGTCAGCCCTATGCGGCCTGCATTTACCCAGAATGAAACTGACTGCATGTAGGTACAAGAGAACATTGAGCTGGTGAAGTCCATTTCGAGGAAACACAAAAGCGGAGATTTTGAGTTTGCTGTCAGCGCCGAGGAGCAGAAGACACTATGGTCGGCGCGCAAGGAGTCTTTGTGGAGCATGTTGGCGCTCCGTCGCGAAGGTGACGAGGTGTGGTCAACGGATGTCGCGGTGCCTATTTCCAGACTGCCCGACATTATCGGTGTGTTGTCACGCTAAGCTTAATATTGAAGCGGGTTTGCTGATTTGTCGACAGAAATCTCCAAGAAGGAAATGGACGACCTCGGCCTTTTCGCGAGCATCCTAGGTCACATTGGAGACGGCAACTTCCACGAAAGCATCATGTACAACAGCAAGGACCCCAAAGAGCGAGCAGCTGTGGAGAAATGCGTCCACGACATGGTCGACCGTGCGCTTGAGATGGAGGGCACATGTACCGGCGAGCACGGCATTGGGTTGGGAAAGAAAGCATCACTGGAAAAGGAGCTTGGCCTAGACACCATCAACGTGATGAGAAGCATCAAGGGCGCATTGGATCCGTACTGGCTCATGAACCCAGGAAAGATCATGGACGCTCAGGCGTAGAGTTGCATACTGACACGGCACTTTCTTCTCGTTCTGGTTCCTTGGGGAGCATCCATGGGGAGGATGTCTGACATTTTGGTGCATCTGTTAGGGCATACATAGATTTCTCAGCATCTCAATCATTGAGTACCATTCTGGTTTGGTAATGAAAAAGTACGATTTGCGGCAAAGAGATGACTGTTCAAGATAGATGACTGTTCAAGATGCTCGCGCGCATGGAGACCTCCGTGATCGGCTGGCGTCGCGTTTTCCACCCCACTCCCTGCGTCATACCTGAACTTTATGAACTCCATTGACTCAATTCCTCAACACCAACAACCACCACAATGGACGCTGAAAAGTTTACATCTCAAAGCAAGAGCTTTCCCAAGAAGAAGTGCGGTCAGTGTAGTTTCTCATTTGAGAGATTATTGACTAACTAAATTGCAGGTGTGCTCGGCGCGACTGGCTCGGTCGGCCAGCGCTTCATCCTTCTTCTGGCACTACACCCACACTTTGAACTACACGCTGTTGGAGCATCTGAGCGGTCAGCTGGCAAGAAGTACAAGGATGCCGTCAAGTGGAAGCAGGCGCTGCCTTTCTCCGAGCGCATTGGAGAATTGGTGGTGAAGAAATGCACACCTGAAGAGTTCAAGGACTGTGACATGGTCTTCTCTGGACTCGACAGCGATGTCGCCGGAGACGTCGGTAAGTAAACGCGCATGCGCTCAGAGTAAGAAAGATTTCTGACGCATTGTAGAAATGGCCTTCCTCAAGTCCGAACTGGCCGTCTTCTCCAACGCAAAGAACTACCGCCGTGATCCTCTCGTACCGCTCGTCGTTCCCACCGTGAACCTCCCACATCTCGACGTCATCAAGCACCAGAGACAACATCACAAGCTGGAGAAGGGCTTCCTTGTCTGCAACTCGAACTGCGCAGTCATCGGTCTCGTCATACCGTTCGCAGCACTACAAGCCAAGTTCGGTCCCATAGATCAAGTCTCAGTCGTCACAATGCAGGCCGTATCTGGCGCTGGCTACCCCGGCGTAAGCAGCATGGACATCATCGACAACGTCGTGCCCTTTATATCAGGCGAGGAAGACAAGCTCGAGACGGAGGCATCCAAGATCCTCGGCAGCGTCAACGACGACGTCACAGGATTCGTAGACCAGCCTATGAAGGTCTCCGCAGCATGCAACCGCGTACCAGTACTTGACGGACACACTGCATGCGTATCGCTACGCTTCCAACGCCGCCCGGCACCCAGCGCGGAGGAGGTCAAGCAGGCAATGCGCGAGTATGTGTCTGATGCGCAAAAATTGGGTTGCCCATCAGCGCCTGCAAAGGCTATTGTGGTCATGGACGAGGCGGATAGGCCGCAGCCAAGACTAGATAGAGAGACAGATCGGGGATATGCTGTTAGTGTAGGTAGGATAAGGGAGGATGAGGCGGGCATCTTTGATCTCAAGTTCGTCGCACTTAGCCACAACAGTAAGTCTGACTTGCACCTGAAGGTATCAGGGACATTGCTAACTAGTCGCAGCTGTCATTGGAGCGGCAGGATCGTCGATATTGAACGCAGAAGCGGCGGTACTGAAGGGCTATGCCTAGTGTCGATACAAAAAGATATAATTCAGACCAGGAAAAGTTCAATCGCATGTCTCCAAAAGTTGAGAAGTGCCTAACGATCAATTGCTTTTTCAACATGATGTGAGATGAGACGTCAATGATACTGTTTCGTACCACAAAAAGCTGCCATCGTGATGCAGAGGGATGCAGAGGGATGCACCGATATTGCGCTGTAGCTCAGCTAATATGATACGGCATTTTCCATTTGTTCTGGTAGACGAGTCTTTGTGAATGTTGCGCTGCGCTATATCGAAGAGAGAAGCTAAACATCTCTTTAGAGCAGAGCACTCCTTCCTACTACAGCAAGGCGTATTAAGAGCTATGTAGACATAAGAGCTGTGTAGACATAATGGAGAACCTAGAAGTCAGCAATATTATTAATTTTTACGAGTTTTGTTGTTAGATGCTAATGTACACTGTAAGGTAGGGCTCGTGTTGGTGATGCGGCAATGGCAGGCGCGCCGGACTTGGTGGCGCTAGCCTCTCGCCTAACACTAGCGTGCGTGAGCAAATATCGCACACTGGATCTTCAGATCTCAAGACAGGAATCCGACAACCTCGACGACTAACCTCACACAACAGTCAAAATGGCCCGTGGACCCGTCAAGCACCAGAAGCGCCTCAGCGCGCCCTCGCACTGGCTCCTGGACAAGCTGTCCGGTACGCGCAACTCCTGCAATCGACGCAAAATGCGACATCGCGAGATCAAAACTGACATGTTGCAGGTGCCTACGCTCCCAAGGCCTCCCCCGGTCCTCACAAGCTCCGCGACTCCCTTCCTTTGATCATCTTCCTCCGCAACCGCTTGAAGTATGCGCTCAACGCCCGCGAGGTCAACGCCATTCTCATGCAGCGTCTGGTCAAGGTCGACGGCAAGGTCCGCACCGACTCCACCTTCCCCTCCGGTTTGATGGATGTCATCTCCATTGAGAAGACTGGCGAGAACTTCCGCCTGATCTACGACACCAAGGGCCGCTTCACCGTCCACAGGATCACAGACGAGGAGGCACAATACAAGCTCGGCAAGGTCAAGCGCGTCCAGCTTGGCAAGGGCGGAATTCCCTACTTGGTTACGCACGATGCGCGAACGTAAGTTCCCGCTCTATCAGCCGTTGGACCACAGTTTGGGCTAGGTGTCTGAGGGAAACCTCTTTCACCAGGCATAAGACCAGGGTCTGGCTATGTCAGAATTGCTGCTAAAATTTTTGTGTAGAATCCGCTACCCCGACCCCGCCATCAAGGTCAACGACACCGTCAAGGTCGACCTCGCCACTGGCAAGATCACCGACTTCATCAAGTTCGACACTGGTGTCATTGTCATGGTTACCGGTGGTCGTAACATGGGTCGTGTCGGTGTCATCACTCACCGTGAGCGCCACGACGGAGGCTTCAACATTGTCCACTTGAAGGATGCCGTTGACAACGAGTTCACCACTCGTGAGTCCAACGTTATCATCATCGGAAAGGAGAAGCCATGGATCTCTCTGCCCAAGGGTAAGGGTGTCAAGCTCTCCATTGCTGAGGAGCGTGACCGCCGTAGGGCTTACGCCATCGCTCACTAAACGTGTGGCGGGCGTAGTTGTAGGTTAGCATATGAAGTACCCATGAGTTCATGACCATAGGTGCAGGACTCGGATCCTAAAATTAAGGCGTTCGTGATCACCTATGGGGAGGTTGATCGGATCTGGCGTATCTGCATTTCCATACGAATACCATGTGAGGTCTGAGAATCAAGCAAATAAACACTTCCATCTTCCCCAATAAAATGCTTTGAATGGACATGCTATATGTGGAGTCGTGCAGGCTTTATGACGGCTCGGGTCGCCTTATTACACGGTAGGGGGTTGAAGGCGAAAGACTTCAGACAAAGAGGATCTCGCGTGGAATGCGATAAGTGTGGTGATATAGGTTGGTGGCGTTTGGCTGATCCTTTTTTCCTGGGATCAGGCTGGGGTCGATAGGAGGGCGCTATGTTTGTGCACTGTTTCGAGCAGATAAGGCATTGCAATGTATAGAGCCGCAACGTCGACAAAAGCAAATTCATGCCTACGATGGGTGGTGGTGTTGATGCTCGCTGCGCTGCCTCAGAACTAGGAAGATGAGCGTCTGTGTGTTTCAGGCGTTTGGCAGCCTCGTCTGAACGACAAGGACACAAGAGGCTGGCGTTGTGTGTACCTGGAAGATGACAGTGGGGCGTGCGACTAGCGAAATGAGACGATAGATATCCTTGTCATAATACTCGGGAGAGCAGCGTGGACGCGTGTGGGACTCCGACTGAGGCTCCGAAGACAAGCAGAGTCGCAGGGTAAGACACGGTTGCTGCGCGGGCCAGGGGCGTGACACGATGGCCTGGTCGTGGTGAAAGAAAAATAGCGCCGTCGAGCGATTCCTCCAACAAGCATACATCCACTGCGAGACTTGGTCGACGTCTGCTGCAACAAGGTGTCAATGGCTCGATAGTGTGCCGCCTTGCTACCAAGTTTATTGCAGCGACTAGCCTGGCATAGCTCCAACGTTCGCTCCGTCGCGCAATTCACGTCCGCCATTGGCTGCGCGTCCGCTCGTTACTTGCGCTGCTGCAGCACCGTCTGTCGCTCCTGCCTCCAGCTCCGCCCACCACCTGCCCCCTCGAGCCCACCACGCTTCCCCGCAACCCCCAAACAGCCCAGCGAAGGCCAACGCGGACCAGCTGTGTGCCGTATCGCGGCCTCTGCCACTGTCGCATACACGCTTCGAGGTACCAATGACACAGCAGGCATAACCTGTGTAACCTCACTCGTCGCTCGTTTCACGTCGGGAGAAAGAGTCGCGCCCCAGGCACGTTTACGACTGCGCCCACTGCCACGCCACGAGCCGGCAGACCGTCTGCTCCTTCACACTCTGGTTCTCCAACACCACGCCGTCGCATCTCGAGAGCCGGTCTCTGGCGAGCCGGAATTCCACGCCCTAGACTCTGCTATCCTTCGCCGTCATGTTGCGCCCTGCGACCCCCTTGTCCATACTATTCTTCGTCGCATTCGTGCTGCTGCTGCTCTCGACGCTGTCGACGCCCCTCATCAAGAGCATTCCCCTCGCTACCTATCGCGGTGTTCACTTTGGAGTCCTCGGCTACTGCGAGAATGGCGACCAAGGCTGCAAAGGGCCCATGATCGGGTACAACACAGGTATGGCTTTATATATATATATATCGTATATATGCGACCAAGACGCTGACAGTTGGAAACAGAGAAGCTATTTGCAGGCGAAGACAGCTCCGACTTCTCCCTCCCATCCGCCCAGCGCCATGCGCTTTCTTCCATCCTCATCGTGCACCCCGTCGCAGCTCTCATGACGCTGATATGCTTCGGTCTCTCTGTTGCTGCCCACTTTCACTCGCCCGCCCATTCGCCGCGCTACCTCCTCGCCCTGCTCATATTCACGTTTCCGACTCTTCTGGTCTCACTGCTCGCTTTCCTCGTTGATATCTTGCTATTCGTTCCGCACGTAGGATGGGGAGGATGGATTGTGCTAGGTGCTACCATCATTATCGTCGCAAGCGGAATCGTCACCTGTGCGATGAGGCGCACACTGGTCAGCCGCAAGGCGCGTAAGAGGCGCATCGCCGAGAACGACGACATGAACGGCCAAACCTACTACGCGAACCGCAACAATGCAACCGTCACTACCGAGTTTCCCAAGGCCGAATCACCGCCTCCTCTTTCTGGTGAGACAATGACTGGCGGCATGGCAGGCGGCAATGCGGCCTACTTTGATTCCTCCAAGCCATCGCCCAACGACGACATGCAGCCTCTGAACCAGCGCAACCCTTCGCTCAAGACGGTTAGCAGTGGAGGAGATCGCTCTGAGAACATGAACCCACCAAATCGTGGCCCCTCTGGTCGTCGACAGCCAATGGACCAGTACGGCAACCCTGTTCCACCCATGCCAAACGACGGATTCGCCATGATGAACGGTGCTCCGCGCGGAAGAGGAGGTCCAATGAGGGGTCGTGGAGGTCCACCAAGAGGCGGGCAGTATGGTGGCCCAAGGGGAGGAGGCTACGGTCCAAGAGGAGGCATGCGAGGACCTCCACCACCAGGATGGAACGGTGGCGGACGAGGTGGACGACCTCCGAATGGACCTCCGATGCAAGGTCAGCCGCCAATGGGTCGCGGAGCGCCTCCTCCAGGATACAACAACAACAACAACAACAACAACAACAACAACAACAACAACAACTTTTACAACCAAGGACCACCACCCCGTGAGCAATCACCATATGGCAGAGCACCTCCGCCTGGTCAGGGACCACCACTGCCAATTGGCCAAGCCATTGAGATGGACAACCGTACAGGAACGCCTCCAACAAACTATGGATTGAGGGAAAGTGACGGCGACGTTGCAGGCATGCTCGCTCTTCAACAGGGTGGCTTCCCTGCTGGTGCACCCCAGAGGCGGCCATCTGATGGGGTCATGAGCCCAACCAGCGAATATTCCACCGAGTGAGTACTACGTATCTTCGAGTTCAGTGTATTTTGTTAACGTTCAACAGTGAATCCGCATTACGGCCACAACCCCTACAACAACAACAGCCGCCTATGCCACAGCAACAGCAGCAATACATGCCAGTGCGAGCAGGATGGAATCAACAACAGATTCCATCAGATCAAACAGTCAACACTTTGAACAGCAGTAGCCGTGGCCTATCACCAATTCAAGACTCACCTGTTGAAATGCCTGCTCAGCTATCCCAGTTCGGTAGGCCCAACAGGCCAGAACGCAGTTCCGACTACTATGAAGATGTGGATCCCAGGTTCGCAGAGCCCGCACAAGCTCAAGCACCTCCACCACTACCGAGCTCTCTCATGCCCGGTGGTTTCGCTCCACCCAACCCCAACTTCCTCTCAACAACAAACTCCAGCGACACCAATCTCCCACGCAACAGTTCCTACGACGACCTTCCAGAAGGCGCGCGCTCACCCGCCGCGAGTGAAGCCTCACACTTCACCTCCGTCTCACAACGTCCTGTCAACCCCAACTGGCGACCCGAGATGGGTGCTGCAGCTGGTCAATTTGCGCCCTTCCCAGGCCCACGTAGACCCATGCGACAGGAAGACGTCATCCTTGAAGCCAACGCTGCTAACCCCGACTTTATGATTCCTGGTGCGGGTCGCGGTCGCGGTCGAGGACGTGGGGGCCCTGTTGGTGGCAGAGGAAGAGGCGGTGGAGGCATGATACCTCCTGCTACTATGATGGGACCAGGACCTGGACTGTCGAATCAATCGAGATATCCAGGTGCTAATGCCATGTAGGGATGGCATCTGAGTCTCCTACGGTAAAGGGATACCTTTTGTTCCTTGACCTCTTTTCTCTTCTTTTCTCTCTCACTCTTCTGAGGTTTTCTCTTCCAAGGTGTACAAAACTTTCCGTTTGCATCTGCACACTTGAGCATACCTTAATTTCTAGTCCAGCAGCGAGCTGTTCACCCTGGCCGCTGCCACACAATTTTTTTCTTTTTCTACTTCTTCCGCTGGACCGGATCGAAGGGAGATGAAGATATCTCTACTCCGCCAGTCCTGAGCTTCAACGTCCTCATGGTAGCGGATACCCCAGCCGACTTTGTCGACTTTTGTTTGCATTTTGTTGTTCTTGGTTCCCTTTCACGAATACACATGAGCGCTCTTCATCCTCTTCCGCTTCTGCTTTTCTTGTTTTCTCATTGCGAAAGGGTCAGGTAAACGATTAGCCCTGGGGATATGGGCGGACTTTTGCACTTTTAACAACGAACTCCCGAATGAGGGGACGCGGAAACTGTTTTGGGGGAATGGACTGTACATAAGCTTCTGATGGAGAACTTGGGTGGATGACTATTGGTAGGGGTTGCTTGGATGCGTGAGTGGATGGTAGGAAGATAAGATAGTGAATAACCAATGTTAAAACTTTTACACAAATGAGGCAGCAATGGCATCACTCGAGCAGCGTGTGTTGTCTTTGGTGATACATGACTATAGCAGTCTTGTTGTGAACCACAGAGTGTGCTAACAGGCCGAATCCAGTCGTATCCTCTGTCTCACGTTCGTATGCCGTCGTCACCCATACACGTACACAGATTCGTACTGTCAAGTGATGATGGGGCCGTAGACGAACCACGTGATTCATCTTGACATCGGAAAGCGCCCCTATATGCCGGACATAAATATCCATCGCATGTCGTGCAGTAGTAGCATTCTAGGCTTATCGCTCCCAGCAACCGTCTCGGAATACATTCCGGATACTATCGTTCGTTTGTTGAGCTGCGTGGCTGAAGATAATACTGCCGTTCAACCTCCCGGCGTTGTGAAGAATTTTCCGTCGGATGCGATCAGCTGCGGACGGGCCATCATTGCGTGCATCTCCGGGTGAATTAGTGTTCTAGCGCAGCACTTCCCCAGACGAGGACTCACGATGTCAAGCTTGGCATTACACATCGCGCACTTTGGAATGCACCGTCCCCAGATTTCTACCCCAGGATTTCTGCAACGATGCTTTTGTCACCCTTACCGCCATCGTATCGAGTTTGCGGGGTATCAACTACTCGGTAGTC